CCCAGGAGTTGGAGGTTACTGTGAGCTGTGATGCCACAGCACTCTACTCAGGGGGACAGCTTGAGGCTCTGTCTCAAAAAAAAAAAACTTACCAGGAGTAGTTTGAATACCATTAGCTACCTTCTTGTCATATAAGTTACAATAGGAAGTGAGCATCTTATCTATGCCTTACCAATTTCCATACTCCTTTCTAAGTTTTTATTAGCTTCTATTATTTTATCCTTTACACCTTTTCTTTTACTATTCTTGCCTTTTTTTTTTTTTTTGGAGGCAGAGTCTCATGCTGTTGCCCTGAGTAGAGTAGAGTGCCCTGGTGTCTCACAGCAACTTCAAACTCTTGGGCTCAAGCCATCCTCTTGCCTCAGCCTCCTGAGTAGCTGGGACTATGGGTGTGCCCCACCATTGAGAGATAAGGAGGCAGCACAAGCTTTGCTCTGTGTGTGTGTAAACTCAGTAACTGATGCATAGTGACCAGCCATCTATAGTCCATGAAAGAAGTAACATGGGGCAGTACCTGTGGCTCAATGAGTAGAGCACCAGCCCCATATGCCAAGGGTGGTGGGTTCGAGCCCAGCCCTGTCCAAAAAAATAACCGGGGCTCAGTGCCTGTAGCTCAAGCGGCTACATACACCAGAGCTGGCGCGTTTGAATCCAGCCTCAGCCTGCCAAACAATGAAAACTACAACCAAAAAGTAGCTGGGCATTATGGCAGGTTCCTGTAGTCCCAAATGCTTGGGAGGCTGAGGCAAGAGAATCGCTTAAGCTGAGGAGCTGGAGGTTGCTGTGAGCTGTGACACCATGGCACTCTACCCAGGGCAACAGCTTGAGGCTCTGTCTCAAATAAATAAATACCCAGACGTTCTGGCGGGTGCCTGTGGTCCTAGCTACTTTGGAGGCTGAGGCAAGAGAATTGGAGGCCTAGGCCCAGGAGATGGAGGTTGCTATGAACTGTGACACCACAGTACTCTACCAGGGGCAATAAAGTGAGACTCTATCTCTAAAAAAAAAAAGAAGAAGAAGAAGTAATGTGATTGGTCACTGATTATGCTGTATATGTATTATTTGCATAGGGATTTTGAGAACTAAAGAACTACTAAGTAAAGTTTTTGCTTCACTTACAGTTAACATGCCACAGTACGTAAATGGTATTGGGGGACTGGTGTTATTTAACTAAACCTCAATAACTGAAGTTACTGAGTTCATGCATATGAAAACCATAGAGAGCAAGTACTGTTTATTTATTTATTTGAGACAAAGTCTTACTATGTTGCCCAGGCTGGAGTGCAGTGGCTTTTAGTAGATACAGTCATAGCACGTGGCAACCCTGAACTCCTGGGCTCAAGCAGTCCTCCCACTTCAGCCTACTGAGTAGTTGAGACTACCAGGGTGCATACCCTGTGCCAGGCTAGTATGAACTATTTATACTTGGGTTGAGCCTTAGTGCTCTCAGATACTCCAAAAAATGTTCAAAAGAAAAGAGCACCTGGGTGTGGTGGCTCATGCCTATAATCCTAGCACTCTGGGAGGCTGAGGTGGGTAGATTGCTTGAGCTCGGGAGTTCAAGATTAACCTGAGCAAGAGCAAGACCCCGTCTCTACTAAAAATAGAAAAACTAGCCAGGTGTTGTGGCAGGCGTCTGTAGTCCCAGCTATTCAAGAGGCTGAGGCAAGAGGGTCTCTTGAGCTGAGAGCTATGTTTCAAGAAAAAAAAAAAAGGGAGGAAACTTGAGGATCCAAGGCTGATAATAGGTATCCAAGATTCAGTTAAATGGGACCTCTATAGTCTGATTCAGCTGAAGACGGTGCTATTTTGGATTTATGCAGCATATTTCATCTGAGGAATTCAAATTATTTCCCATTATCTAATTCAGCCTATGGCAAGGAGGTAGCACTGACATTCTCATGGGCAGAGAAACTAAAGTGCAAGGAAGTTAAATATAGGGTTAAGAAGAAACTATTTTGAATGTCTTGCATAGTACCCTTTTTCTCCAGTCAGCACAGGTTCTATAGTCTGTCTGTCTTGATTCTATGGAGAAGATTCATGAGGACCCTCTGCATATAACTTGACCTTGATTCACAGCTTGCCATCTGTCTGCCTACCAAATTATACCTGAGGTTCTCAGTGATGCAGGCAGATATTAGCTAAGTTCTTCCCATCCATCAGTCATGTGTCTTTGTAATGGATTTGGTTGTCTTTTATTATAATAACTATGAAAATAATTCTAATCCCCCCCATGCCATCCTCCAAAAAACAGAAACATTTTTTTATTTTTTATTTTTTTGAGACGGAGCCTCAAGCTATCCCCCTGGGTAGAGTGCCATGGCATCACGCTCACAGCAACCTCCAACTCCTGGGCTCAAGCGAGTCTCCTGCCTCAGCCTCCCAAGTAGCTGGGACCACAGGCGCCCGCCACAACGCCTGGCCATTTTTTGGTTGCAGCCATCGTTGTTTGGCGGGCCCAGGCTGGGGATTCGAACCCACCACCTTAGGTGTACGTGGCTGGCACCTTAACCACTTGAGCCACAGGCGCCGAGCCCAAAAAACAGAAACATTTATTTAGTACCAAGTATATGTTACAGCATTACATCCTTATCTAGTAGTTCTAGATAAGGATAACTAAAACAGGCTAGGCACAGTGGTTCAAAGGCCTATAATTCTAGCACTTTGGGAGGTCAAGGCAGGAGGTTCACTTGATGTCTGGAGTTCAAGATCAGTCTGAGCAACATAGCAAGACCCCATCTCTATAAGAAATAGAAAAATTAGCCAGGCATAGTGGTACATGCATGTAGTCCCAGCTACATGGGAGGCTGAGGCAGGAAGATGACCTACGTTTAAGAGTTTGAGGTTACAGTGAACTACAATCATGCCACTGCCCTCATGCCTTTGCAAAAAAGGAAAAAAAAAGAGGTTGATTTCTAACATGAAGTACTTTTAAGTCACTTTTGAAGGCCCCCCTTTTTTTGAGATAGAGTCTTACTTTATAGTCCTCGGTAGAATGCCATGGTGTCACAGCTCACAGCAACCTCCAACCCTTGGGCTTCGGTGATTCTCTTGCCTCAGCCTCCTGAGAAGATGGAACTATAGGCGCCTGCCACAATGCTTGCTATTTTTTGTTACAGTTGCTACTGCTGTTTTTACCTGGACAGGGCCAGGTTTAAACCTACCATCCTTGGTATATGGGACTGGTACTCTACCCACTGAGCAACAGGCACCACCCTAAGCCACTTTCTAAAGAGGTAATATTAAGCTCTTAGATTTGGCCATCAAACATTATGTCTTAGTTTCTCCTTGCAGAGACAGGTAATTTCAAGGGAAAAAAAAAACCCTGCTTTCTATCTGTTTCTACTCAGGTTTAAAAACAGAAATAGGGTGGTGCCTGTGGCTCAATGGGTAGGACACTGGTCCCATATACCAAGGGATGGCAGTTTCAAACTCAGCCCTGGCCAAACTGCAACAGAAAAATAACTGGGCATTGTGGCAGGCACCTTTAGTTCCAGCTACACAGGAAACTGAGGCAAGAGAATCGCCTAAGCCCAGGACTTGGAGCTGTGTGACGCCACTGCACAACCGAGGGTGACAAAGTGAGACTGTCTCTACAAAAAAAAAAAAAAAAAAACAGAAACAATGGTGAGGCAGGGTAGCTCAAGCACCTAATCCTAGCACTGTAGGAGGCCTAGGTGGGTGTATGGCCTGAGCTCAGGAGCTCAAGACTAGCCTGAGCAAGAGCAAGACCCTGTCTGGACATTGTGATGGGTGCCTATAGTCCTAACTACTTGGGAAGCTGAGGCAAGAGGATCCCTCAAACCCAGGAGTTTGAGGTCTCTGTGAGCTATGACAACTCCACGGCACTCTACCCAGGGCAACAGAGTAAGACTTCTCAAAGAAAAAAAAAAATAGAAAACAACAATTGGGCAGTGGCTATGGCTCAGTGAGTAGGGTGCCAGCCCCATATACCGAGGGTGGTGGGTTCGAACCCAGCCCTGGCCAAACTGCAGCAAAAAATAGCCAGGCATTGTGGCAGGCACCTGTAGTCCCAGCTACTCGGGAAACTGAGGCAAGAGAATCTCCTAAGCCCAAGAGCAGGAGGTTGCTGTGAGTTGTGACAGCAGCATGGCATTCTACCGAGGGTAATAAAGTGAGACTATGTCTCAAAAAAAGAAAAGAAAAAAAGAACAAAAGCTTCATTCTTATTCTTTTTCTTTCTTTTTTTTTTTTTTAGATGCAATCAATTGTTGATTTATTGCACTTGTGCAGGGGACCGCTGCTCTGAGAGATAGGCGGCCTTGAAGTGCCATTTTTCTTTTTCTTTTTCTTTTTTTTTTTTTTTTT